CATGCATACAGGATTACATGCATACACGCATACATGCATACGTGCATACATGCATACATGCATACATGCATACACACATACATAGCTGCATACCTAAGCTTTTTTTGCCTACCCACCTACACACCTTCCCACCTAGGACCTACGCATCGACCGACCTGCGTATCTGCCTGCATATCTACCTACTCACATAAATACAAAAACCTACATACATGCATACACACATACACGATCATACACGCATGATTCTTTGGCAACGGAGATTTAAAGAACAAATAAATACATATATGTCCATGATGATCCATGTGCATGCAAGCGTCTAGACCCACACAGCAACACGCACCATGCAGATTTACGGCTTCTCATGGCTTCTCCGGGCATTCCACACTGGACTCTTGTCCGACACTCTCAATCCAACTTTCGTTTGCGCTGCAGGCATGTCAATCGGAAGGTCTAGTAGCAGGACAAGAGGATGTTGATGCTTTTGGCTAGATTGCAACATGGGAGGCTGTTCTGTTTTTAGGTCCTGTTTCGGGGTCCTTGTCGGCCTAGACCCTTGAAAGCCGCAGGCATCTTAAAGCCAGATCTAAGTTAGAAGAACCCCGGTATGAATCGAAACGATACTGGGCTGTATTATGGGCTATACCGAGCAGAGGTGCCTTGCTGTGCCGTTGCCAGCGGCCTCGGCGATTGTTGATGTACTGCACTGTAAACCTGAGCAGTTCAAATCAAAAGCAGGCTGACAAAAGAGATGTGATGTGCATGCAGAACCGAGATCGACATGTTTCGCAGCTCTAAACGAATGGGAGGCACGAGACAAGTGATCGGCAGACTCGCCGTCTGCACAGCTCAGTGCCCATCAAATGCACTTTGGCATCGGGCTGTTGCTGATTCAGGCACTTTCGCCGAAGTGAAAGGCTGCTCCGCGGCACATCAGCAGTTGGCAGGCCCACGACCTGAGTGCGTTACGGATCGCTGACCCAAAGCTGCTAGGCCAGTCTCCAAGATGCGTGCTCGACGGGTAGGGGCATCGCTCAAGCGGTCCCAAGTTCTCTCCCTGAACCTGGAGCAACTGCAAGACAGAGCTCTAGACAATGCAGTGACATGACACTACTCTTATTTCTTCTCTCAGGGCGGCGGCACCTTCGCACCTCGCCTTTGCAATGTGTCGCAGATCTTCTCGTATTCCCTCGTCTCAGAGGAACTCAAAAGCTCGGCAAGCACACTGGCGCAGGGTCTTTCAAGAAGACGGAAAACAGAAGGAAGAGACATGGCAACACTGCAGACAAGCTTCTCGTACTTGTCACCAATGTAGGAAAGCCCACAGACACTCCAATCGTAAGGTGTAGCTCTGCCCTCGTCACAGGTGGTCAGATCGGCGTCGAAATCCGCCAAAAACTCCACGACCTCTTCAAGGCAACAAACCAGATCCTGACCTCTGTGGGATGCCAAAAGCTCCGCCTTCAGACGCCCCTTTTGGCAGGCAAGACTTACTGGCGTCTGCCAATTCCTGTCTTTGGCGTTGATATCCTGCCAAGCTTTCAAGGAGGAATGGAGGCGAGCAGTGTGGAAAATCCGTACATGTTGGACATTTGCTGAGCAGCAGGCCGCTCGCTGTTCGAGCAAGAACTCGACTACGTCCACGTGACCCTCTTTTGCCGCTAGATGCAGCGGCTGTGCACCCAACCTGCGGGTGGGAACGAACTGGCAGAAAATGCAGCCTCCACACGGTCCAGCCGAATGGTACCCAAAGCGGCACGGCACGAAACAATATGCATATTCGGCCTTGAAGTGGCATGATGGATGTTTGCCTCGTGTTCTATGAGCAGCTTCAGAATGCCTCGGGCATGCCGTGAAAGGGCTGCTCGTCAAACCCTGACGCGAGCCCCGCCAATGAGGCTGCATGCAGAAAACGCTTGACAAATCGAGGTGCCCAGATTGCCACAGGAGGCAGCCGTGTGTATAGGCAGCCATCCACCGGCTGGTCCAGGCTCATGTACGCTGGCTCCTCGCAAAGAATCTGTCTCAGCATCGCCACACAATGCTGCAGGCATGTCCTGCTTTCAAGGCAGCAGCTACGGGCTCGAGCGCGCCATAGGAGACTGCCACGCGCAACTCCTTGCAACTGCGAGACTCGCAACAAGATCACACGAATGATAGAGCCACCTTCAAACTCAAGGACTGCATGTAAGCGAAGCAACAGTACCACTGCAGATCACTGCAGGCTGGTGGTGCACTATGATGCATTTATCTTTCACACTTTGAAGGCCGCAGCTCCTCCTGTGGGCTCATGTGGGGGCGATCGCCGTCGATGGCACACGGACTTTAATGGCTACTGCTAGGTTTTCACTGACACGTTGCTGCTTCACTAAGCCTCTAAAGCTTGCTCTCGGATGGCTGTCTGCTTCGAAGGCTGAATGCGGTTTGCGGAATGAAGCAGCAAGAGTCACCAGTCACGAAGGCATCAAACTTTCAAAGAGAGCAGACCTGAGCACAGAGCTGTGGCTTCGGATCGGGCCAGCCAACGCGAATGGTCACCTGATTTACTTTGAGCCCTAATCCCTCAATGCTTTGGCCCGTCTGACTGCTTGGGTACGAGCCTTCTTGGAATCCGTGGGATCCACAGTCACAGCATGACCTGACCGGGATTGCATGCACAGAGTTCGACACAAACAGCGCTTTCCGACCTGCAATGTACTCGTTCGGGGCTGAGTTGTGGTTGTCCAGTCTGTCCGCGAGGTCATACCGACCCTGGCGTGCATATCTTATGCAGTTCAAGAAACGCACCATGCAATCTACTGCGCATGCGCACCCTGAGCACAGAGAGACGCTCGTGGTTGCAAACCTTTGACAGGGACATGGTTTTCTAGCTTGCATTGGAGGACAGGTCTAGCTGGCAACCTGATAAGACCGTGTGGCAGGTGTTCCCGCACATCAACTCATAAGTTCCAGGCAACGTCTGTCTGTCCGGGAGCACATATGAAATTTTCCCCTGGGCAGCATGCTGACATGGACACAAAAGAAATCAACAGCCCCAACTGTGTGCCAGACCCAGTGTGATCAAGTCACCATCCGAGAGAGTGGAGGATGCCTGTCAAGACGATGCATGCCGAGAGTCTTGATATTCAAGTGCTGACTGTTCCACCGCAGAGCTTCGAAGCCCCAAACCTCAATCGAGCCGAAGATTTACAGCCACGCGAAGACCAGCCTCAAACTCCAGCTCTGTGGTGAACTCATCCATCACTGTGACGGCCTGTTGAAAAAGTCCGAGCGCTGATACTGACATCCTCATCAGTCTGAACCATCTCACCAACTGCGCCGCTGAGCTTGAGTGGACCAACATGGCATGACCGCCCGCCGACTTTTGAAGGGAGAAAAGCAGTATCATGTCCGAGCTGTGGATCCAAATGCCCAGTGCACTCACTTCTCAGAGGGGTGTCTCAGCCGATTCGCCTTGATATCGTTGGTTCGGCAGCCTTCATTCTGGATGTCACACATGTAGGAGTCTGATGAAAGGACACCAACCTGGCAGAAGCCGTTGCATCTGCTTTGCTTTCGCAGAAACTCTTGCAGAGGATTGGGCCGAGATATCTCCGTTCAGAACGTCATTGATCTCGCCGACCTTCACTGCACACGGTAAGGCACGCTGAGGCACTTGTCGGCAGAGCCCGGAGGCCGACCTCCGAGCACGGATGTGGGCAGCCAACTTTGATGCTCGTGACCTCAGGAGACGACGTCAGGGCTTAGGCTCGTCACATCATCTGTGCGCTCCTCTCTCTACCGTTCTCCTACGCCCCCGGGGTCGCAGCACCCCAGGCGGCCCGTGGGTTGCCGTTCACATCGGAGCACTGGGATGTGGCCGGGATGATGCGAACCTTGTCATCCTGCGGTGAATTGTTTGCTTGCATGACTCCGAGTTTTGCTCCTGCAAAAACCCGCTGCTTCAGTCCCATCCCTTCTCCAGCCTTCGCCAGACCCCAGCCGGAATACTCAATCCGGAAGACGACCTCGCAGACTCTTCTTTGGCAACTTATGGCCCGATCGTGTCAGCAAGACAGACATTGCTTGCAGGTCACGTTCGTGGAGACTGTCCAACCTCGGAGGCAGAGAGCAGTCGCGTTGCGTTCGGATCTGCGGTGAGTCGCTTCGTAGCCGGGGAGCTTTGGCCTGGGCCCGGCCCTCTGATGGTCAGGCGATTCACCATCACCTCCAACAGAACAGGTTCGCGAGCAGACTCAGAGAGCGTCGCTCGCGGTCGCGGTCGCATCCACTCGGATGCCCGAGTATCCGACCCACTGATCGTGGGCACAGACCTGAGCCGATCGGATGCGGCTGCAGGACTTCAACGATTTCAACCCAACTGAAGCTCCAGCTCCAGGGGTGTCGTCAACCGGTCGTGCACAGTAACACACCGCCACAAAGCCAGCCTGTCCGACAGCTCATGCTACTCTCACGTTCTCTTGAAAGCCGCATCAACCACAAAGCCGAGCCTGGTTCACGATGATTGTGTTGGCCATGATTGCATTGTTGAACATGAGCCTGCCAGTTCGCTCTGTGCCCCACCATGCAAGAGAGATACAAAGACAGCCCGGCTTGTTCACGTCAGCAGCCGCATTGTTTTTTCCGCTGTAGGCTGTAGCTGCCTCGACCGGAACACGGTTTGCCAAGCAGCTAGCAACTAGTCTTCCCGAGCACTTCTTCAGCAGTGCAGTCGGGCTCTGAGCCCATCACGTTCTGTATGGTCATCGTATTGGGGTCCACCAAGGTTCGGCTATACCTACAACATCTGACAACTGCAGCAAGGAGAGTGTTTCCCAGCTTGCAGTTGCAAACGCGCTTGGGAAACATAGCTGGCGCTAGCCCTGGATCCAATCCGGGCAGTGGACTCTGCAGAGACACAGCCCTCGTCCGTCATGGTCAAGTCAGGATCTGAGACCAGCTTCAAAGCACCCCCTTCCTGAAAACGATAGCAGGTGTCAAGAAGCCGATGCAGAGCTGAACTCAGTGTACGAAAGCCGACACACTTGACTGGCTGTGGAACTCAAAGGTCCTGCAAGCCCATGACGCCGTAGTCAACCTGGCAATAAGCAAACTGTGTTCCGCCTTCCCGAATACGTAGAACCAGCGCCCGGTGGACCCATGGACGATAGAAGCCGAAAGTTCCGGGAGTGTTCATGTACTCAAGGATAAACTCGTCCTGCCTGTGACACGTGCGGCACAAGTGGCTCCATTTGCAAGGGAACAGCGGGACGGCACACTAAGTGCTTCACAGGACAGAGACGTTGGAGGCTGCGCTGACAGGCTGGAAGGGGGCGAAGCGCAGCTGACCGACCTCTTGCTTTCTCAATCCAGGACACGCGAGAAATTCTGTGAGGTCGGGATGCCTTGAACCAATTCGCGGTGACAGTGCAGCCACCATCACAGAAGCAGACCTCGTCAGTGTCCCAGCATCTTTCGGCCCGCTTGCATCAGACCCATGCCGAGCGCCGTGCGTCGAAGGTCTCTCCCGAGTAACGGCTGCGAAGCTCATGATCTGTGGGACCCGTCCTGACAGACTGGATGATCATACATCGTCCATCATCTACTTCTGCTTTCAAGTGGAAAGGCAAGATGTTGCTAAACAGCTTCTGACGCACGCGGCCCTGTAAAGCTTTTCGGCCTTGCAAGCACTGGTGCCCTGTGCTGTGATGAGCAGAGGAGGAGAAAGATAACTCACAAAAGCTTGCAGGACAAGCTACATATCCGCTCGTGGTGCATCCTCTCCAACTGCAAGTTCGCAGCCAGGCTATTGGTGTGAACTTTACACGATCCGGCTACTTGTGAAGCATGAGCTTCTTGCGAAAACAATGGTCACATCCCTTGGGTACCCACTTGTGTCCTGCTAGAAGGACAATAGATGCCCTTATGCGCCGGGCAGGAAAAATGTCGCCCAGCATATGGCAGTCATCCCGGATGGCTCGCCCAACTCTTCGAATTAGAACTTGAAAGTTCCGACTGCTTGCTTCTTTCAAGGACCCGATACCAGAAAGGGTTGGAGAGCTCCACATGTCCTTCGACTGTAGACAGTGTTAGTGGCGACAAGAACAGGCAAAGCTCAACTTGTCGCGATGCTCATCCTGCAAACAACAGCATAACAAGCACTGACCTGTTCTTCGCACAAAAGCAGTATCCACTGCAGGACTAAATGTCCCTGTCGGTCATTAGCTGCTCTCTGTGAGCATGATGCTGGATCAGGCCTTTGCCGCCTCCCCCTGCAAGCCACGCACTCGCAAGTCAACATCAGTGCACAGTCTCCACCTCGAGCTTCTCTGCTTGCTCCTCTTCGGCGATCTCTTCCCTTTCATCCTGTGTGTGCGCACGAGGAAGACATGAACACATGGTCCCACCAGGCGCCAAACACCGGCCGAACACTAAGGATAGAACTATTGCCGAGGAAGATATTGAAAGTACAGTTGCAAGTACTGGTGAACCAACGGGGTAGCACGCCAAGCATTCTTCGAACATAGTTGGGACTCGGTGCTGCTGATGAGACTTAGAATGGGGTTTGTCTCCGCTGTCAGTCTTGAAAGATGCAGTACCGTAAGAAACAAACACGAAGTGAATTGCCAAGACCAAAGCGGAGACACAACCCCAAGATGTTTGGCCGCTGCGGAGGTAAAAGCCATTCCCCAAACCAGCACACACTTTCAAGTGGAGTGGGGAGCCTGAACAAGAGGACATCCAGCCTTCGTGAGATGGCGCGCCTGATTAAGCGACTCTAACCCATCTGTGCACAATGCCAAAACAATGTGGTAACGTTTGCAAGCAACATCCATCGGTCAAAACTCAACAGGAGCAAACCAGTAAGCAAAGCTACGAACGCCAGGCGGGGCCACTATAATTGTCTAGAAAGTCACAGGAGTTTTATTGGTGCCACTTTGTGCCACGAGGTACTAACAATACTCACTTTCGCTCTACATCTCGATTTTGTGCAGATGTGTTGCCATCTACAAGTAGTTGCTGTGCCGTCCTACGTCCTAATTGGATCACGAACTACTTGTCAGAAAACTGCGCAAAACTTCTGTGTTATTATGCTATTGTGAATTGTGAATCTATGCAATGCCTTCAAATGCGTCTGCTCATCCAGACATGGATTGCGAACCGACGTATGGGCTTGTTGCGCACATACGATATATTTTGATGTATGCAGCGAAGCTGACAACCCCTTCCCACCCCTACAGTAGGGCCAGCAAATTGCAGCTGTCTCCTCGTCGATGCCTCTTTGCAGCCAGCCAGATGGGATTTTGTGCTGCTCATGCATGGCCTAGGTTCAAAGGGACTGCACTGGTCCCTGACTGCAGCAAGACTCTGCATTGAATCCGAGCCACGGCCAACCTTCCGAAGATCTGCACAGAATCCTCCCGCAAAGAGTATACGCATGAGTGTCGGCTTACACCCTCGTGCACTGCTTTGTTGGCCGTAGCGTGCCGGACTGAAGCGTGATGGCAGTGCGAGTCCCACCTACATGACGGCAAGGCTTCGGGGTACAGTTCGACTGAGCCTGTGAAGTAGACATCATACCAGAATTTTGTTCACGACCCAAGCCCAGACCATTGTGCCGCAGGCCGCAAGCTTGAGAAGAGCTAACAACTTTCGTGACAACATTCGAGGTGAAGAGCTCAGCAGCCGAAGCGGTCCTGCTGCCCTGACTTCCAGGCCTCCCACGCTGCTTGAGGGCAAGCAGAAAGTGACAGCGAAACTTGTGAGCTGTGCCTCCTCTAGACCTCGAAGTTCTTTATGTGGTATGTTGCCGATCATCAGCAGCTCCTGCAGAACAGGGGTCTCCGAGTTTCTCACCGAAAGCAGTGTCTCGTCTCCTCCACGATGTCCTTTGCCGGCAAGACCCTTCCAGAGCCGAGGCCGGCGCCCACAGCCCCCAGGTCGATCTTGTCCAACCTGGGGAGGGCGGAGAAACATTCGTCGGGTCCGTCCTTCCGTCCTTATGGGGAGTCTCTGAGACTCTCTGAGACTGAGGTGAAGGCTCCTCGGCGATCTGTGCCTCGGTCAGATCGTTCATCTTGTCGTCGAGCGACTGTCCAGGAAGACGACTCAAACGGGCGGTCCGAGACTCACAAGCTCTGACCTTCAGAGCATCATAGGCTGCATTGCCCGGGTGAAGCATCGACCGGGGCTTTCCCGAGAACTCCCTGCCCAAAACGCACAGAAGCCTCACACAAGTGGCTAGGCAGAAGACACAGGAGGGACGTCCTCTCGTAGTCGTTGAAGACCCAGAAGAAGCCTTCTAGCATTCCTCGGCGGCTTCTGAACCCATTTGGATCATGCACGCTGTCAGGTAGGATTCCTGTTCGCGACATGAAGTTCGCACACCGTGGATCACACACGGGGGGAAGGTGAATAAACCCCGTAACACCTAAACTTTCAGGGGCTGCGCCCTTGTGCGCCGGCGCAGCATTTGGTGTTTTTCAGTGTCAGAAGCAACTTCAATGGAAATTCAAGCCAAATTAATGAAACCTTTAATCACCCAGCACCAGCCAAGCAAGTTTATTTCGATTGTTATGTTTGCGTGCATACGGAGGACCTGTCGGTCGAGCTTTCCTGAGGAGGATTTGGACTTTCGTGGGGATTTGGGCTTTCGTGGCGAAGGATTCGGGTTTTCGTGGTTCTCGTGGGGAAGGATTCGAATGTTCGTGGGGAAGGATTGTGGGTGGCTTTGTGGGATTTCGTGCAAATATGTGGGCGTTAGTGGGGATTCGGGCTTTCGTGGTGAAGATTTTGGGCCTTCTGTGAGGAGGGATTCGTCGGGCTTTCGTGGCGAGGGATTCGGGCTTTCGCGGGCATTCGGGCTTTCGTGCAGAAGGATTCGGGCTTCCGTGGGGAGAATTCTGGGCTTTCGTCGGGAAGGATTTTCGGTTTTCGTGTGGGGTAGATTTGGGCTTTCGTGAGGGTTCGGGCTTTTGCCGGGAGGGATTCAGGCTTCCATGGCTTGAGCAGAGGAACGTACACAACAGCAGGCATGACCGAATCCACGTAACGAACCGATTTAACGACGTTACGGCTTAGGGCAGCCCCCGTAGAAGAGGGAGTTGTCTTGGGCGCCACGCTGCACTGGCGAACCCTAAAGCTCTAAAGCCCTAAACCCTAAAGCCGAAAACCCCAAAGACTCGGCCCTCCTGAGGTAATCAGCACCCGCCAACCCTGAAGCCTCAAAAAGCATGAAGCACTAAAGCCAAAAACCCCCAAACCGAAAAAGTCCTGAAGCCCCAAACCGTGGAACCTCCCTGGCCTGATACCCCAAACCCGAGCCCCAAGCCGATAAGCACCCCAAATCCAAAACCCCAAGTTGCCCTGAAGACTCGGCTGTCCTGGCCTGGCGACACCCTCGAAATCAAAGAAACCCCGAAGTTCCAAAAATCAGAGGGCCGAATCGGGTTCTACGCATGCTGTCAAAGTGCCTTTCAAGGGGTCGCCCGTCTCGTTGTCGCCTGAGGACATTGTATTTCACGCGAAGAGCATATTCCGAGAACTTCGTCGTCAATTCCACACGCTACCTGGGAGGGCATATTCAGGTTCACCCTCCTTGTTGACAGGACGGGGGCGCATGCAAGTGTTTCTGCCTGCATTCGATGGCAGTCCTCTTCTATCATTTTTTCCTCCTGCTGCATTTCCTGCAACACCTGCACGTGCCACTTCTGACAAAACAAAAAGGAAACCTGCTCAAGTGGGCCGGGCCTCTTTCTCTGTGTGCTTTTCCAGCGGGACGGCACGCTTGCCGGCCTCGACTAGGTGATCCACCAACCTGCAGGGCTTCTTCACGTCGGAATTCGGATGCACCAGGAACGGCGGGACCTTTTGGTGTGCTTGAGCCCCATCTGCTGCTGATCAGCAACCTCGGATGGCCAACATCATTGGACAAGCAGCTGAGTCAGCTTAGACCACTAAGATCGTCACCAGATGCAGAAGCGTGTCAGCCAGCTTGGCTGCCTGCACCCGACAACAAGATACTGCACCTGTGTCCACCGACATTGCAACTCCGGGGCTTACGGCACCCCATCAGGGCCTTTTCTTTGTTTAAGCCAAGATCTTTGGATGTTTCATCCACGGTGGCTTTCACCCGAGCCTGCAAGACTGATCGGCCTCTATTTTCATTGAAGCAGGCCTTCCTCTCTCACATCGCAGCACCTCGAAGCTCTGGTACGTCACGTTGAGCAGCTTCATGAGCATCTGCGCCTGCTGACATCAAAACAGCCTCCGGCCTGACATAAGGCTCCCCGCAAGCCTCGTGCGATTCATGGATGTCGTCTCGGTATTCGGACCACAGCTCCATTCCGACCTTCCAGGCGGGGAGTGTTGCCACGGTCTCAGTAAGGCAGTAAGGCCGGCCTGCGCCAACTTTGAGGCTGCATGATGTTCCTCTTTTCGGAGCTCTCGATGCAGACTCCTCCTTTCCAAATGGATCCTGGACGGAGCTTCTTCAACGAAAGACGCTTAGTCGGCACGAGTGTCAGGGGCTGATACTAAAGAACTGAGCCTTCGACTCAAACTGCGACCAGACGCCGACAAGAGCGAGGATCCCAATGCAGCCAAGACTGCCGACGAGCAAACCAATCAATCTCGTCCTCTTGATCCTGAGGGAAGCTACACATAATGTCTCCAGGCAGGACGGAAAGAAGACCTCGGGAGTGGATTCTGTCCGAGCGGCGCATAACCCAGCTCAGTGTCCTCGGAGCTTTCTCTCTCTCTGAACACTCCATGCCCCTATGCAGCAACCGAGTCCCAAGCATTTGCTCCAATCTTGCTCTTTTCAAAACCAACCTCGAGCTTTTCAGGAGCACTTCGCATTGGGAGAGTGGGATTTGCAGTCAAGGTGCGGTCGTGAAAAGGTCCGGAGTCGTCATTCCCCGGCCCAGAGCCCGAGAGCCCGGCCGGGCAAACAAAACTGGGACGGGCGCTCGCTGAGAACCCAAATGTTGCGAAGCGAGCGCAGCCAGGGTTTGTCCAATCCCACTGTGATTCTTAAGCACAATGCTTCCACATGCCTGTTGCTGCAGACCATCTCAGAGACGCTGCGATCCGGCCTGAATTGGAAACCAGATGTTTTGGTGTCAAAGATCAGGCCCGAGGAGGAGTTCTTGAAGTTCCAGATTTTGTAGTCCTGGCGCAGACGGAACCCCAAAATGTGTTTGCTTGCATTTGCCAGCAAGAACCACAATGCTGATGTCCTGCCGCATACCGCCATTCATTGTAGCCTCAGGAGGTGGTGAAGCACCACAGATGCGCGCGGGGGTGTCATCATCGGCCAAGCTCTGCACAACATCCGGATTGTCGTCTGATGGCAAAACCTTGCAAATTTCAGGAATATAGGTCTGAAGTCGACACAGCGAACACAACGTTCCAAACCGCACCTGCACACCCAAGGCGTTGATGCCATGTACTGCAGCGCCACATCCCGACGAAGGGTCCCAGGCCGGAAGGTTGTTGTTGGCCTCGGCTTCAGTTCAGAACCACAGAAGAGCGCGAAGTGCCTTCAGCACAAGCCGGCCTCCTGCATCACCACTTTGACGCGGCTTGTCGCTGCAAAAGTGCAGGCCGTGCTGGGACATTCCACTTTCAGCGCCTCCGGGCTTTGACAAAAGTAAAAGCGAGGGCTTTGCCGTCCCCTCCGTTCTACATGCAGTGCTTCTGCCGGCTGCCCTGAGCTAAGGAGGAAGCAAATCGGTGTTGCGGCGCAGCACCTCAAGCGGAGCGATAAACCGATAAAATCAAGATGTCACCCGGTCTCTCCAACCCATCGACCATGCATGCACCTGTGAAGTCCAGTGCGCATGCCACGGCCTCGAAGCCGTTCGGGCACACCTTCACAGGAGTTCGTCAAAAGCACGGGTCATCGGAAGGTCGAAAAGCCTTCGTTGCGAAGAAGTAGAGTAGCCCCACCTGCTCAGACAAACTGCCGCGAACTGGCCCTAGGCCCTACGCCATGCCCAGTTTCCCACCTGCTGCACATAGTCGGGGCTGAAGGAGTCACATCTCTGGAAATCAGGGCAGTAGCACGCCTGAGCTCGCACGCTCAAGAAGCATGCGACGATGGGATGTTCATTGATGATGGGCTTCCTGGGCTTCGTGCTGCAACTGCATAAGCCTTGAAGGTCGGCCCTTGCAAGTCCGGTCGTCCAGGAGGAACATTCATCCCTGAGGCGGAAAATGAATTTGCTGCATTCGCTGGCATCGCAGGTTGTTTCTGCTTGAACCCTGCCAACTGAGACGATCGCGCTTGTAAGCGTGCACCGGGTCTGGAACGATGTAAGGATTCTGCACAGGTATTCTGGAATTCTGTTTCCAAACTTGCCAAGGGCAGGTTCGACACAAAATGACAAGCAAGCGGTCCCTCGTGGCCAGATCGCCACATTGACCATCCGCATTACAAAGAAATGCCGCAGGGAAGTCGCCCAACTTGGACATCGCGAAGACATTGAAAGGCCAAGCGGAGGCGGCGATCTGAAATCACTTAGCTGCGTACACCACTGGAGCCGCACGACCGCAAGATCTCCGTTGTGACCATGCCGTTGGAATCATAATCTCGGTAGGCAACACTTTAAGCCGCTACTAGGAGCACGCTTCAATTCTGAGATCACCTCAGTGCGGCACTGGTGGCAAACTCACCGGTCCAAGAGCCTCTGCCTCCACCAGGAAGTCCTCTGAAGCCTGGCGAAGGCTTCGTATACATGCCTCCAAGAGAATCTCGGTATAGGAGAGCGCCTGCTCCGTCGTAGCTGTAGTCAATGACACAAGACGTCGTGCCATCATAGGCCTTGTGCTGGAGCCAGGCAGCAGCAGCCAGACGACTCTCAAAACGCAAAGATGCCGTGACTGTAATAAGCGACCCGGCCCGAGTGAACCGGTGGGGCCCCCAACACGTGGATGGAATAGATCTACGAAAGCAGCCCCCCTTTTGGGCTCGGGACACCCAAAGCTCTGCTGTTCATTCTGAAAACATGCGGAGAGATTGATTGCCCCCCAACATCAAAGTTGCAAGGCAAGCTTCCTTGCATATTTTTGTTGAGGTAGATACATATATACATATATATATATATATAGCTAAATGACTCAGCAGTAGGATCCTCCTGAAATTTTCCTTGCACCGCCCTTACCAACAAGGCCGGTGGATCGCATCCAATGCTTGTTGGTGTGTGTGTGTGTTGCTTCTCTCCACTGGCTTGTGCTGCTTAAGGCCAAGTGCAGTCGGTCAGGATAGCATGCCTGAGACCCGGACATCTTCCATGTTGTTGTAGGCTTGCCGTCGCAAGAAGCACGTGTATGGTCGCTTCGTCAGACACGTCTCATCTGTGCAAGCATGCAGGCATGTGCAGCTGTCCGCAATGAGACTACGCATGCGATACGCACACACACACACACAGTTCAGTATGAAAGAGGACAAGCCAGGGCAACCTTCGGCGCACTCGGTACGGGTATCATAAATGCCGTAGACCTGGATCCAAGCTCCGCTGGGATTTGGAGCATCTCACAGCATCTCCGGTTCTCGCCTCTATGCGTTGAGGCACGATGTCCGTGTGCCCAGGATCAAAGGAACCATCATCCGAGTAGCACAAGTGGTAGATGCCCCCCATCTTGAACCTGTCAGAGAAGATTGGTTTCGTTGAAACCATGTCTTCCCATGCACTTCAGCTTGCCGGCATCTTAAGAATGCGGCGTCAGTGGAAGAAAGGTTGCCAGATCGATCTTTGCTTGCAAACTCCCATCTGCACAAGACATCAGACTTGCAGCAGTAAACAGCAGGAAACACTTTTCATCATCCGGGCCTAGAGTGATCGTGGAGGCACCCACACCAGACCTAAGCAAGGCTTTGATTAGCGTCAGAGCACATCGAAAGTGACTTGAGCTCCCTCTGAGCTCATGAGCCACGGCTGGTTCACGGTAGCCGAGTGCGCTCCGTAGGGGAAGTTTCCGTAACGGCACTGGCCAAGATTGGCACCGGCCTCGGCATTCGGAACCCTTTGGAACATGCTTTCCCGACTTCAACATGGACAGCAACAGCGACGGAAAATTGATTCCACGAAGTGGACTGCAATCTTGAGCTGTGGTGGATGCAGAGAGCCTCTCCGAACAAAGATTTGTAAGTCTTAGCGCTTTCCGGAACCAAAACGGTCAAAACAAGTCATCGGCTCTATCCAAACAAACACGCATGTTCTACAGCTTCTGTCTGCTTCCTTGCAGACCGGGCAAGCCCGGCATACCGAGGCCCAGACCCGATCTACTTCATCGTATACTACTCGCAATTTCGCAGCAGGCGCATTGAAGGTGTCAGGGTCAATGATAATCTGGGCGCCACAGATATGATGCAACAAACAAAGGGGGGTCGTGGGCGATGCACGACCCAGCCTCAACCTGAGAGATGGTCACACCCGCATAAATGCCGGTGGCAGTTGGTTGACAGTCGCTGGGCTGGCACCTGAGTTGCAGACTGTTCGGGCATTCCATAGAGTGCATGGATCGCTTCCTTATATGCTCCCTTGAGCTGATGACTGCAGCGGCGGCTCAACATCATCTAGAAAGGTAAACGAAATCGACGTTCGGGTATAATCCAGCCTGGGCGAGACGGGCGATGTTCCCCTCAAGAACGCATGCTCGACAACTTGGGCAGATCCTGGCTGAGTGCAGGGCTCATTGGTGATGACCTGCTACAAGAGACTTTAGTCTCATTGGTTGTGTGATTATCTGGCCTAGCCTCTTGCAGCCTGCGGGCCTGCAGGCAGACTGAAACTGTCACCGTCTGACCATCTGATCGATAGCAGTGAGTTCGCGGCAGGGCCAGTCACTTGACCTGGTGCCACGACCTTAAAGAAAAAGGTGGTTAGACAGAAAATCTCTGGCTGAAAGGCGATAGACAGCCCGATCAAGCCGGCTTTTCGTGCGCTGCCACCCCACCAGCGCATCGACCGCTGTCGCGCAGAACGCGCTTTGCGGAGACATCTGAATGCCATGTTGCACATGCGCACAGCATTCCCCTCGATGAACTGGACACACAGAGGCTCTCTACTGCAAAAAATTGCAATCCGAATCCGAACAAAGCGAGATCTAAAAAAACAAGAAAGGGGACTGCCAGGTGTGTCCGACCCCAGTGACGCTTCGCGCTAGGATTCTTTCAGAGCTTTCTGCGCTTCTTCATAGGCGATGGCTCGATCACCTGGCTAGCACAAGGGGGTAAAGCAGCCAAAAATGGAACCGCAGACTGCCTCGTCTGTCTCCAGCTCCTCTTCTTCTCCGCCCTCCTCACCACCATCCTCCTCCATGGACACATGCGTCAGCCAGTCACCTGGAGCGTTCATTCGTGGAGCGCTGATAGTACTGCCCCAGCTGCGGCAAAGCTGCCCACTGACATTGGAATGGGTCTCCTTGATGCCGCTATGAGGTCGAGAGCAGAATTCAACAGACACAGCAGACATTGGTAAAACTTGCTTGGACACAAATGGGCAATCCAAAGATGAAATCTGTCAACAGCCGAAGAGCTTGTCTTTGCTGAACTTGGACTTGCTCTTCTCCTCCGGGGAACAAAGCCGTTTCGCGCGACAAGGTCGGTAGTTGCTTGCATAGTTGCTGCTCTGCTCTGTGGATTCGCCGAGGCACGAATGCATCGTGTGCTTTTATCAGAGCTGTGACTGCCGCTTTGGGCTCTACCTGCTGGCAGCAAGGCAAAGCATTCACTCGGTGTGTCGGAAGATGTACAAACAGCAGTGGCCTTCGCCGTGAGCTCTTCAGGAGTAGTCGGAAAATCTTCTGGCTCGCCCGACACATCAACCGGAACCAGCATGGAGCCATCTTCCATATCATCTGGATACCTTACTTCGACACTTTGGAACCATTCGATTCGGCACATATACAAGCACAGCCAGAGGCTGCATGAACTCCATTGAACCGACAGGCACTAGCGTGAACAAGCGGCATCAAAGCCTTGACGTCCTCTTTGGTAACGTCCTGAGTAGCCGCGGCACGTGAAAATGGAAGAACTCTGCACACTCTTTCATGCATACTGCATCTCGCGAACCGCTGCTTTCTTCTTGAGCTTGCCTTTCATAGCCTGAAAGTCTGCAAGCAGAGCTTTGGCTTCAGCCATTGGCCGAACTCAGTACCCCACCTCCAGCCTGTCTTTGCTCACGTACAAAATCCTCAGCAGCACGCATGAACCCTTGAGCCCTGTGCCTGCAATCATCTTGGCCTGGATGCTGCAACCAAGGCACTTGTCGTAAGCCGCATCCTCGAGGAAACCTTAGTCAGTGTGAGAGGAAGTGGCACACATAATGGCACGAGACACTGTCCAGGCCGTGCACCCGAAGCAGTGTTTGCCATGTTCCACCAGAAAAATGATCCTGACAACGCTTTGCTAGGGAGCAACGCTCCTCCCTCGGCGTCCTACCCTGCCCCACTCGTCTTGGGCAAAAAGGCGGCGAACGGGGGCGATGCTTGGCGTGACACCACGAGCAGTACAAGCAGTACAAGCAATGCCGTCCCAACTCTCAAGGATCTGGCCACGTTGGATCGTGCAGTGTGCTCACCTGGGAAGCATGTGACAGGCTTTGCTCCCGAAATGGAGGTGGTCAACTTAATCCGAGAGGCTGTGAGCCGCCCAAGTCCACGAAGCTGACGAAGCCTGAATCCAAAAGCAATGAGAAGTGGAGCTGTTGAGCCCTCTGCTCCCCTGCCTCCCTGTATGACAGATCCACTTCTAAGCCCGCCGTCGCATTGGAAACAGCCTGTGAACAACCATGTCCAGCGAGGGAGAGGCGCGGTGCCAACACGAAACCCACGTTGATCCCGGAAGCCCACAGGCAAAATCACAAACTCAGCCGCTTGACTTGCCTCCTCGTCCTAAAACGAGCCAAACAATGCATGCCACAAGGGAGGAGGCCTGGATGCTGCAAACCAATGTCAGCGCCACCGAAATGCCAAGCGCGCTCTTGGGAAGCAGACCTGACAAACTTGTCAGACGATCCGGGACGGTCTGATATTTTGTACAGACCAATTCTAGTGCGGCGCCTCCGCAAGTGAGCAAAACATGCATGGACTTGAGCAGCGGCCGGGTGGCCTGTCTCACAAATGCGATAGGGCAGTAGGATGATAATGTGTCTTGGTGACAGCGATCTCAACACGCAACAGCGCCTTGCGAATTCAGCTGATGGGCTATGGGCCACGTCAGTTCCAAGTGCAGAGACCAGATATGATCAACCGATTATGATATTTCTCGGCATGCTTAAGGGACGTATTGCAACCACACTTATCGTTCTCGACTCGTTGCTTCACTGTGCTACAGAACTCTCCTGGGCACGCCATTTCGTGCAATGGTTTCGGTGGCCTTCAAACAGTGTATAGTACTGCATCCATTCGAGCCAAAACCATGATGCACGATCATGCAAAGCACTGGTTCGAAATTGGTTCAACACATGTCGTAGATGACTGATTGCGTGTTCTGTCGCACACTGGACACCGTTGTCAAGCACGACATGTCAATTGCCTTCCTTCAATTGCATGTCAACCCTCAAAAGGAATTCGCCGCAGCAACTAAAAACAACGTCCATCCTCTCGACCGGAATGCAGCGGAGCAGCGCTACAGAAGCAGAGGCACCTCTGATAAAACAAAGATGGCTTAGTCGTTCTACCTCGCAAAGATCGTCTAGTTGACTTCGAGGTTCACCGCGGTCGGCTACTGAGTTTTGTAGTACTGTAGCAAAGAGAAACATCCAGGGCTTTGCAGAAATCCTGGGGAAGCTCGCTTGGAAGATACAACATTCTGACAATCCACAGAATCAGCAGCTCACAAGTCCGGCAGCGAACACACACGCAGACACACGCACAGAGATAGAGACAGCAGGAACCCAGTTTTCCGACGAATGCAGGCCACATCTCCCAGACCGAATTCACAAAGATGCTGCCGCCACGGCCTACTCCTGCAATTCTCTTGCCCTTACCAATGCCGTCGCATCAAAATTGCAGCCCCAGAGAATTCAAAGAGGGCAACAAACTCGTCAAAAAATCCTCGCTTGGTCTAACCACACTTCGCACTGGAGGTTCTCCACCATGCAGTTGGTCCATCATCCGCCGAACAGATGCCTCAACGCTCATCCAGCAACATGTTATGAGTAAGGGTCACAGAGGTCCAATGCGCTTCACCGACGATATATAATTAAGATCCTCGCAGCTCGCTCTACAGTAATCTGCTTGCGTTGAGTCAGCGAAATGTGTGGGCCAAACTCCTGGGCTACGTTGCAGTTGGATGGGCATCAAACTATCAAACCTTGGAACTGCTTACATGTGCTGGAGGCCTTATCCATATTCTTCCGAACTTCTTCAATTGCACTGAACACCTCGGCCATGTGCTCTATTGTGAGGAATCAGAAAATTCACCAGCCCGGTTTTCCCACCGAGCTCTGAGAAATGGGCCCGTAGATCATGGGCTTGCAAGCTGAACTCCTCCCAGCTCCCATGGAAGCGGACCTTCAGCTTGAACTCCAATGGCGAGCTCGCGCACTGCTGGGCCTTTTCAGCCAAATCCCGTCTACGAGACACCGGCCTAGCCAAGCGGACTTGCAAACTTGTGGGGCCTCCTGTTTGCAGTAGGTTGCCAGCACCACCAACGGCAGCAGCCCAGATGGCACCATGGTGTTCTTGGAACATAAGTACATGAAACCTCAGGCGAAATCTGTTAGCTGCTGCCCGAACATTCAGTGTAAGCTCCGGCAAGAAAGGCAAGGTGACCTCTGCCTGTTTTCACGGGAAGCGCATCGGCTGTGATGACCTCACAGTCCTCTCGCACCTGCTCTGACCGAGGACTTGCCCATGCCCATGGGCAAGCAGGGCTGAGGCCGCACCTGCGGCTCAACCATAGACTCGGCCTTCAACTTGCAAAGAGAACTGCTGCCCCGGAGCTGCACCTGAGAGCAGAAGACAGAAGTGGACGCAAGAGGCTGAAGGCGCTTCAACTCGACAACTGGACAGATACATTCAGAAGCATTCAGACCCTGTGCCTGCTGCCGCCTCTGCCTGCCCCAACTCCGCTGCTCTGCACTCCTCTGATCGTTTGCTCTGGGCTGCAAAACTGTCGCATGTCTGCTCAAAACTCCTGAAGGGAAAGGTGCTGTTCGTGCCCGCCGCAACAACTTGACAAGCCCGACGTGCTTCCTCACGCGACCTTCATGGAAGACCAAGAGGAGAGCGAAGCAAAGGCAAATGAGGTCGTTAGGTCGTAGCAATGCTGTGTGTCTATGTCGCAGATCACCAGTCCACACGTTGTCCCAAAGCATCCATACATGGGGCCAATTGTAAAGAGTTATGCATGCTGCATGCAGCTAGGCGAAGCTGGTTCGGGAGGCCTTCGAAAACGGAACTCTTGCCTCAAGATGCTCAGACCTGCTTAGTTCGGTTTGAGACAACTGCAGACGTCCCGGATATGCGACCTCGGGATTCCGTGACAATGCTGTCGATGTGAGATTTAGCAGTGAACAACTTCTGCCAGAACCACGTAGCAGCGACGAAACAGGGAGGAGGGATATCAACTGCGAGGACAGTAAGCATGAGTGACCCGCTAGATCATGCCACATACAATTAAACCTTTGCGCTGCCACTCTTGACCTGGCCATACCCTACCCTTGCATTCGACAAGCCACCCGAAGGTAATGGTGACCTTGCCGCTGCTGTTGTCCATCCTTGGATCGTTTCAATGGCTGCGTCCCCAAATTCTTTTGTAGAGCAAAGCTTCACCCACGGCAAAGCAATCGAGGTTCGCGACATCCTCAATTTGGAAGCCGTGCTGGGCAAGAAACGGACCGACCTGCTCCTTCTCACGAAGCACGAGGAACGCATGATGCAACTGCGAGCAATTGAAAGACCTTTGCAATGGTGAGTCCTTCTTGTTCCGCCGAGCAGTGAAAGAAACCTGTCGGCAAGGCCAGTTTGCCGAAGCAGCGGGAGCAATGACAGTTTCGACAGTGGCATGAGCACCTGCTCCGTGCATGCAGAGCTCTGCATCGACAGCATCCCATGAATGAAGGAAGCAGCGATGCCTTGGCTGATGTCAGCTGCCTACCCAAGAGAAGAAACTGAAAGACTGTCGAGATCAGCCTGCAGAGCAGATGTGCAGCCGAGAATCACCACTGCAGCAAGCGACGGTGACTTGCTTCCTGGTTCTCCCAACTGAGGAGTTCCTTGAAGTCTGTACAAGGGTCGCCTGCATCCAGAAACATGGAAGCCTCAACCACACTATAGGCTGAATAGACCTCTTGGAAAGCAACAGCTCCACTGTGCAAACAGAGAAGCGGCCTGCAAACTCCGGAACACAGGAAGCAAGTCTGTCACCGCGTTGTCGTTGGTTGCACTGCATCGGCAAACTCTGCATCGCTGGAACCTACAGCTACAGGCCTCCTCGCTGAAATCCCCGCCTCATAACCGTGCTGGTGCAGAATGACAAGAATCTGCCGCTTCACCTGCGAAACCACTGCAGCATCTCCACAGCACACGCATTACAAACGCATCATGATTGCAAGTGCAAGCTGCAGCAATCAGGCGGCCTCGTCAATGGACTGGAGGCGTTCAAAGCTAAGAAAGTGGTGCATGCACCACTGAGGACCTTGATCAATGGCCCAAGCTGCGCCGGCGCTCTGGACTTGCCTTCGCAGTGAATGTGTCGGAAGTGACCATTCCGGACCACGGGCACGGCTAAGCAAGTAAGCTCTTCTTCAAGAGCCGCAGTGGCACAAGGCTGCAGAGGGGACGGTATATTCTAATTAGAAACCCTCCACTGGCGGCTGACAAAGCCCAACCATGGTTCAAGGATGACAACTCATGGAAGCGTAACACCAAGACGACGCAAGGCGGCCCAGCACGCCTGCAACCTACTTTAACAACTCCGGTTCGGTGTTCGACCCCGCCTGCACCAAGCACGGTAGCCCGCTAGATCTTGAAGCAAGTCGGAAGGATATCCATCGCAGTCGGCCTTCAGCCACGGCAGTGCAAACATTCGGCTGGCTATCGTGGCTTCGGTTCAAGCATTCAGAACCAGGAAATGCACCTGCGACAGGCTGAACGACCGGCCCTGTCTTGGAGAACGAAACTGGGACTAGGAGTGCTAGCGGGGTGCAAGAAAGAAGACCTTGAAATAGCAACCTGAACCCTCCCTATGCTACTGTCTGAGCCTGCCAAGTTGCACAAACATTTCGGACTTGCCAGTACTGCAAAGCCCGCTGCATATCCCAAGCGCCATCGTCTAGAACAGGAGCCTGGACAAAGGCGATAAAAAAGTCTTTCGCTGCTCCATGTCGATCCGAAGCGCACACGCTGAAGCCTCGAACGGGCTGCCCTGCTGTAGAATGGCTGCCATAACACAGCAGTCCGCAACCACGTCATACCGCAGACCATTGATGACCAGCCTCAGGACTGAGAATGACGAAACAAGCTAGAGAAGCTTCAGGTGGCCTCCCGATTACTCCAAAGGGCATGCTGCAGCCTGCATCCAGGGGCAGCTGGTCGAGAAGCCGCCCGACGGCAGTCAGCCTGCAGCACATGTTGAAACAGAAACCGCACCCCTTTTGCCCTTCTGCCACGTCAGCACGGAGGAGGCACACAGTCCAGCCGCCTTCCATCTGATCCCAGCGCGCCCAACTCTTCCAGGCGAGAGATGGAGGACTTAACTCTGCCGAGATCAGGAGGGCTGGGCATGGCGGCCAGAAAATCCTCCGCAAAGCTGACCGGTTCAACTGTGGAGACCAAACCTAGCGACTGGCGGGCCTCCGGAGCTCTGGACAGGCCACGAAAGCCGTAGACCGCCAGAACCAAGCTGTCTAGCGGATGATGACGTATCTCAGGCTCTGCATGCCGCTGAAGCCGTCCGAATTCCATCTCCGTAATGCATCGGAATGCATGGCCATCACGAAGCCTCGCCGTGCGGCCACTTCGTTGCAAAGCCTGACACACCATGCAGATTCGGACAATGCTGCCCGCTTAGCAGAAATTGCGTTTAAGCTGCCTCATCCTGGCTGATGAATTCGAGGGTCAGCGGGCTCTCTTTCAGCAAAGGATGCCAGCGCCGCCGTCTGTGAAGGCAGGTGTCGATGACTAAGTCCACCGTTGGAATTGTTACTGACGACCTGACCATCAGGAATCTGAGACACAAGAGTCTCAGTGTCTCACTGCTCTAAGCCCTCTCAGGCAGCTGCTCTACAACATCCGTCGCAAGGATAACCAAGCGCTTGGATCCATTTGCCCGAAAACGAAGAGCTCGTTGCTGCAAGTGCAGTGCCTCCAAGCATCTGCATGATCAAAGCACGGCAAGTATCCTCAAGCATGAAAGTGAGGAGAATCTTTTTCTTGTGGCCTGGCCGCCAAAGAGCCGTTGGACCTGCATGTTTGTCACGGCCGTGAGCCGATCTGCCAATGCGTGCACCTCTTGGCGGCCAGGAAGGAAAACCTGGAACAGGAGTGCGCTAGCAAAAGCATGGAGGTAAAGCTGGAGCTGGGGACAGAACATGCAAAATCCACTAGTGCATACCAGTGCTGCTGCACCCTTCAATGCTGAGGCCGTTTCCAAGAAAGATTGCTGGAGGTCTCGTAGCACGTGATGCTGCTGAACGACCAGTTCGAGTGCTTCAGCCATTTTCTCCGGACACATGTCCTCGACATGGTTTAATGCTGTACGCAAACTTACTGCTACACTGCTGTGCCCTGTCCACGTCAGTTGCACAAAGCTTCTAGGTCTTCTCAGGACCCTGCCGCGGTCAGACTGCGCAGGAAGGATCCATCTGCATAGGAAAGCGTCAGTCCATGCTTTCGCCTTCTTTCCAAATCGATGAAGCCAAGCGAGAAGTTCTGGAAATAATGCTGGAGAAATGGCACATCAGTCGCTGCCGACATCAGTATGACCTGCACTCTGGGAAACAGCTATACAAGCGAAAGCGAACACAGAGACAGCAAGCAGTAAATCAAATCTTAATTGCGAGCGACTAACACACTGCAGCCTGATCAGTCTTGCTCAAGAACTTAGACCTGGTATTCACGTGTTCTACATCCGCCATGCACGTTACGTGCAGGCGGGAGCAAAAGAATTCCGACAACACGGCCAAACACATCTTACACACAGAGTGCCACTCGAATTTGTCGGGCATCCTCTTCTCGACACTGCAAGGACGTATGACAAATCACACTGGTTCATTAGGGGCCTTCTTGGTGGCGTCTTGAGGCAACACATCGCACTTCAAGATATTCAGCAGAGCGTCGATGTGCACATCTCCTTAGCACTGGGGAGCATACAGAAGAGAAGTGGAAAAGCGCAGTCTGGCTAGTTCAAGTCTTTCTAAGCTTTGGTTTCGTGCCACACTGCTGAACACAGCGCAGGCCGAGTGACGGACATGCACCTCATCTACTATGATATGTGTCGCTGGAATGCTTCCTTGCAGGCACATCAGCATCGCAATGGCCGTCGTCACATACACCAGCTGCGTCCTTACCAGGCAGATACTCGACCGCTGGGAAACTCAGCGGAAAGCTCTGAGGAGCGCTCTGCTCGCTCCATTCCCGGTGCCCTCCGACCTGAAAGCCCACGAGCTCACCGACCTGATCACGCTTCGCTCCCTTCGCTCCCTTCACGCTCTTCGCTCTCTTCGCTCTGAAGGCCTCGGAGCCCGTGTAGTCGGCTAGCAGCTTCGCCAGGCTCGCGGTGGCGACCCTCCGAGGCTGCGTGCCTGATCTCAATGTCTAGCGCAGATGCAGATTGCTGCAACACTGGTGCAACTGTTGCTGGCCGGATAAGCTACTGACATAAGACACGGTGACGGTCTGCACTTTCAAGCAGCAGCCGTGGCACCCCGGTGGACTTGCCCGAACCTGCTGAAACAGTGCAATCTCAACATCAGAAATCCAATGACAGGAGGACGATGAGCAAACCAGGGATGCATCACTTCAGGCCGCCTGTCGGGGCAACGAGGAGGGTCACTGAATGTTCAGCGATACAGCGAAGCACCTCCCCGGCTGAATCATCCACCATTGTCCAGGCCTTACTGTCCCGAGAAGGGGCTCGCCAAGCGCCTCGAGGAGCTGGAGGCCGAGGCCTCTCCGTCCCTGTCCCGTGCATCGTCGTCGTCGTGCCTCCATGCTTCACGTCTCCTTTTTGGATCAAGCTCCCGACAAGCTCACAGAGCACGGTACGATCCACGGGGCCGTCTGGGCATGCCAAGCTATGCTCCTCCAGACAAGCCTGCAGGGCTTCGGTGGGCCAGAATTGAAGTCGATGAAACACATCGTCCTTCTCTGCGGCATCCGTCGGCTGTGCCGGGCTTGCGTGAGCTTGTGTAGCTGAGGGAGACGTTCGGACAGCAGTTGCTTCGCTTGAACCCACCGAGCTTGTCTTCAATGGCCTCACGAGAACAGCTTGAATTAGTCCTACCTTGACCGTGGCAAGCAGCTCGGGTGATCCCCGTCCCCTCAACCACATTATGTAGGGAGCAATGCTAAATGTCGACGACAAGATGCGTGGGAATGTTCACCACCGCCTTGTGCTGGCTGTAGCGGTAGCGGTCAGCGCGAATCTTGCGGATGGCATCCAACTCATCAAGTTGTTCCTGGTTGATTTGCATAGCGGCCATCAACACAACACATCTCAGTGTGCTGTGCCTCCCGAGAGGTACTGCCAACCAAATTGTGCGCTGCGTCTTCTCGAGTTGCTGACACACCCGGCTGCGCAGATGTGCAACCATCGGCCTACCAGCGCTTGAGACTTGCAAGTCTTGCAAGATCGAGCACACGTTCCAGAGAAATGATCTCGAGTTTCGAGGACACCCCAGCCTTACAGTCCGGCGATACAGCAGACAGCGAGCTCGTGCGGAGCATCTGCACAACCTCCTGCTACCAGACTCACCGACAAAGGTGCATCAACCATTTTAAAACGTCTGAAGCTTCTCAATTCCACTATCTTGACCCGGCACAAGACTCCTGCCACGCACATTGCCATTAGGAAGCTGCCTTCTTGACGATTTCATGAAACCCCTCACAACCCACGGGCAGCACCATCGCGGGATACTCCTCAGAACTGCCGACGCAGAGAAGCTTAGAACTGAGGCTGTTGCCCTGCATGGTCTGCCAGGAACAGGTGTCCTCCAACCAGCTTGTGTTGCTGCCATCGATGAAATGGCTGGGCTTGTGTTCAGCTGAGAAATGCCAAATGATCACATCATTCGGATCTAATCGTCCACGTGGGTTATCTCCGCCATCTCCTCAGCAAGCCAGTAAGGTAAGGCATGCGTGCTGCAGCGCATAATGGACAGTTACACAATCAGGCCCCATGTTTCGGGTGTCACAAAACTGACAAGCGGTCGCATCTTCAGCTTGGTCTCTTGGTAAGAAGGCGAGCTGGTGGAGCTGATAATTATACTTCACAGGCAAGGGCCTGTCACAATGACTCGATTGGCTAAACGAGCGCAGAGGATATGTGTAAATAGACAGGAGAGCACAAGAGAGAGCCTCCACTGCTTTGCAAACCATAGGGTAAGGAAGTCCTGCTCCGGCATGGTGCTTGGGCTTTCTGAGCCGCGGCCTGGTTCTCGAAGTTTCTCCTGTCACCAAACCCAGAGACCCACACCCCAGCTGCCCCAGTGCCCAGCTCTGTCCGAAGCTCCTGCATCTTGCGGAATGTTGCCTTGCTCGGCTCTAAGATCACAACTCCGGCATTGATGCCACCCTTCTGCAAGCCCGAATTGTGATCAAAGAAGGACTCCCTGAGGTTGGGAGACAAAGCTCAGTGCCGGACATGCAGATGAAATGCTTTCCAAGAGTGTTCGTCTCGAAACACAACACTGAGTCAGATCAAGTTTCGCTCTTCTTGGGGCGCCCAAGGTCCAGGTGTTGTTGCCGCGAAACAAAGCAGCTGGTGCCTCCGTCAGGGCAACCCCATCAGATGGTCGGCAATTCATGCAAGGACTCTTGCGCAGCTTCCTGGAAAGAGAAAAGCTCTTCGCAGTTTGAGCGGATCAAAAGGTCGAGGTCAAGAAGAATCACCTCCAAAACGCATCATCATGGTTGATGAAGGTGCACATCGCCCATTCCAGCGAAACTTATGGCTACATGCTCCAGGCCGCATGTAAACAATCAGGCACAACAGCAGTCGAAGGCTTCGACCTGCCTTCCGGTACTCCTCCAGCTCCAGGACACGAAGCTTGTTGAAGACTCCTGCAAATCTGGGTCTGCACCCGCTGATAAGCTGGGATGCAACCTCCACCGGCTGAATCTCCCGAAGCTTCCAGAATCTTGCCAAGCAGTTCGCCGCATCGTGGCTCGAAATCTGGTCTGTGACGAGAAGCACGCAGTCGCTGTCGCCGCCGAACTTCTTCAAGGAGTGGCCAAGGACCAAAGCATCCCGAATGAGCTGAGAGGTTGTGGCAGTGTCCACAGTTGGCGTCCAAAGAGCTGCAACCTGCGATGCCGAGACACCCTTAACATCGAAAGCATTTGAGCAGCTCGTGTGCGTCTCACTTCGGCATTCATTTCATCTATTTCAGAATTGTGAACACACGCTGTCGGCCCTTGAACCAAAAAAAATCCTGACTTGCGCAGCTGCGTGACAAATGCATTTTGCCCCCGACCCCGTCGGTTGCCCGACATGCACCCAGAGCTTGGTCGCACCTTTGCAGCTTACTGAATTTCTTGCCCCTCACGTCAAGCTAAAGACAGACGGTGGCTTCCTCTACTTTTGAAACATCTTTGCGATGCAGGTGAGTCACGGCGTGGCATGAAGAAGCGCTTGTCTGTGTACTAGGCAGCATTGGTTCCCTACTTGCTGCAGGCCTCAAGCACACAACTTCGCTCAGCATCTGCAGGGTCAGGTGGCTTACACAGAAAAGGAGCACATTCAGGCACATTCATGCGCGGACGGTCTGTGCCGACGCTGAGACAATGACGTGTACAACGGACACAGGAAGTCGCCCGACTGGGTGAAGGTAAACTTGAGGATATGCTGGCGCACCCAGGTGTCCGTGATGCGAGAAGACCTTCGAAAAGGTTGCTTATATGCACCGGCCCCCCGCCGTGTCCACAGGACTGAGGCAGAGTGTGAACGGCCTCTCTACTGGCCACCTGACCCTCAGAAGAATGTCATGAGAACCCCACACCTTGCCTCACATGATTTCGAAACAAGTCATTCGAGACGATGACGGCCGCATGGCCCTCTCGCTCTCTCTTCTCTACGAAATTGATCAAGAACAGATCCACATCTTCCCCGGTCGGGGTGACCACCCACTGCTGACTGTATTTCGCAAGAGTTTGACATGCCCTCCACTTCTCGGCAAGATCACGGTAAAGAAAGAGCCAGACAGTTTCCAGAGGCTGATGCGACACGAAGAACTCGAAGGCTCCAGCCAGCTGCTGGTGGTCGGGGAGGCGCGGAAGATCCAGACTGAAGCCACACTTGGCAATATTCCGGCTGTCCAGAGCCACGTGCAAGACAGTTTCTCCAGCGAAGCGAGAACCCGAGATCGAAGCTGACCCGTCACATGAAGGCCCGGGACATGACGCCACACCACCGTCGGGTAATGGAACGGGGAGCGAATCCTTGGAATGTTTCACGCCGAATTGGGACCATTTCTGAAACCACCATATCCGAGTCTTGAAGTCCACCGCAATATGACCCCTGTAACCCTAATTCCTCGCCTGGAGGCCAGCAAGGCCTGCAGTAGACACGCCAACATCTGTCTTTCATCTGCGTTTGACATCTGCCTCGGCCCGGTGATTGAATTCAAAGATCTTATGGACAGGTTTGCCTAGTGGTAGACACCTTCACACACATGCAACCAAGAAGCAGAACAGTCCTGTAGCCCTCCATATCCAAAGATTGCAACCTAAGATGCAGTTTCAGCTGTTGGCCTCATTGCTTGCACTGACACTGATGCTCCGCACATGTCTCAAGAAACAGCAGAAGCCCTTCTCTCTTTAGCGCACAGGAGCACAGAGAGATCTATGTTCAGGGCTTCCACCATGAATGCCGCCTCTGTGAAACCTTCATCCTGTAGCCAGTGCACCACTGCAGCGCAATCCCAATCCTTGCACGCCGGCCTGGATCAGGCACCAATGGAGTCAGTTGAAAGCACAACCAACCCTGAATAAAAAGAAAAAGGAAGAAAGCGAATAACTGCGCAGAGACATCGTCTGAGTCCAAGACACGCACCTGGAAAAGGTACTTGGCGAACACTGACCCGTCAATCAACAAACAAAAGAGCTTACTTTCATTTAGGCATTTAGGCGACACAACAAGCTCTGGCTTTGAGCTGATGCAGAGAAGCCACCATGAGGTCATCTGCCTTTCACGGGGTAAGCAATAAAAGCGATCACAGCAGCTTGTTAAAACCCAAGTGCGAAATGCACGATAAAGCATGCCAAGACCCATAGCATTGCAGGAACTTTTTTGCGAGCCCCATGCTTTCCCCAGCATGCCGAACAGCTTGATGCTGTCGCCCCCAGCTCAGTTTGTTGCAAACTGAATCCTTTGCGGATAAAGAACTATGAAAGTGCGAAACTACCGTCGCAGTCAGATCGTGAAGGTGGGAGGCGGGGGGCTGTACAAGAACGCACGGGCACCTTCACAGAGTTTGTAAGCTCCTAGGCTAGCGGCCATTTGCGAAGCAGGACATAACTCGTCGGTTCCTCATGGACAGGACGTTGACCCGAGGGACGTTCGCAAGAACCTCCGGCTCGGTCTCCCATGGCCGAGACTTCCAGGAAGAGAGCCTGTCGACCTTCCCCGCAGGTGAGTCGCTTTGCACAGCCTGTGCCGTGGCCTTGGAACCCTGGCCGAAGAAGAAACCGAGCTTGGACCTATCCTTGATTTCATCTGTCGTCAGACTGGGCATCCCGTGCTGGGCCAACACAGCCTCCACAGCAGCGTTGGCTCCACCGCCGCCCCTAGGACGGTACTCAGGCTTCTTCAACTTGATAGCCTCATCCTGTGTAGCTGCCGCCACAGCCTTTGTCGGCGCCACGCTGCACAAAGGTCGAAGGCGAAGGCCTTTTGATGCAGGAATCGCCCTGCCCAAGCTGCTGTTCGTGCTTTGCACAGGGCGTTTTCGTGAAAAAGGGTTGCTTGACCTCGGCATACCCTCAATTTCCTCTGCAAGGGCCGGTTCAAAAGCCGACCGGCCGGTGTCTTGAACGTCATCTGAAAGGGATTCCACAAAGTGCTGGATCTTCTTGAAGTCTCCTGCTAACAACCTGATTTCTTTCCTTTGCTCTGTTCTGGCCTCCCGGGACGGAGCATCACCAACAGAGTTTGTCGGTACCTCTTCTTGTGCGGCCTGTAAAGCCGTGGCTTCAGCTTCAGACCGCCTGAGCTCGGCCTGTTCTTCTGCAAACTGCTGAAGGTACTCTCGCTGCTCTCTACGTTTGAACTCGAGCAGGCTGTCGATTGCAGCACGCTCCGCTGGACTCAAGGGCTCCAGCTTCTTGACGGCCCTGGTCCGTGGGTCGAGATCACCTTTTGCAACACGGACTGCCTCCTGCTTGGAGAAAGCCTGACCACAAACTGATGTGGGGTCCAGGTTGGGGCAATGCCTGCGAGACTCAGTTAAAGGAAACGATGTGGCAATCGAAGTGCATTCACCACTTCTCAAATTGAACACCAGGTGATGCCAAAATACGCACACCACGGAGAAAAAGCGTGGAATATACTCTTCTGCCTCACATGGCAAGCGCTGCTGAAACGCCTCGTCGCTGATCATCCACTTCAAGAGTTCCTGAGTGCTCCCATACCTTCTCATGAACTGAAAGGCAGTTTTGATGCCGAATTTTTTGATATGTGTGTCTGGCTCCTTGTAGTCAGTACCACAGAAAACGCAAAACTCGGCGAACTGCTCTGGTGACCAAAGGTCAAGGCAAGACTGAATGTCCTTGGTGATGGCAACCTTGTCGGCTTCACTCTTTGCCTTAGCTCCTCGCCTGACCTTGGGACCGTGGCCGACCAAACCAGAGTCATTCTCAGTGACGGCATCCACCGGCAGCGTCTCGGTAGTCTTCTTTCCTTTTGGTGCCTTCTTGGCCTTGTGCCCAGGCTTGAGCCTTTTCTGCTTGCCGCCCTTAGCCTGCCTCTGATCTAGCGGAGTGTTCTCTTTGTTAGGCTGCTTCTGTTCGGGAGGAGGTGGAGAAGCATCCACTTGGAGGCAAGGAAGTGCGATATGGTCACCATTGCCGTACTTGTCCATCTTGAATAGGATGCTAGGACAGCCGTAAGCAAGCAAGTCGCTGTCTTCAGAAATAGCAACATCGATCCAACCCATCCTGCACATGTAAGCTAGCTGAGCATCAGCTTCGTAGGGTGCGATCATGAAGTCAATGGACAACTCCTTCAAGGCACTTTGAAGCCTGGATATCATCGAAGGTGTCACCTTGATAGCACCCTCACACTTGGAAGAGATCTCTTTCTCATCCACATCATGTCCAGACCTCTGGCGGTCCAAGAGTTCGAGAGCTTCAAGACGGGCCTTCTCACGATTTTTTCCACGATTCTCCTCCTCTTTCGCCTTGGCCGGCAATCTGTCCCCGTCAAAGACGATGATGGGCTTGATCTGGGAGCAGCGCAGCACCTCGCACATGCGCAGGAAGAAGCGCACGAACTTGTCGGTGTCAGCGCCTTCAACGAGCTCCCGGGAGCAAGCAAAAGCTCCTTTGTGCATCCAACACATGGCATCCACTCCGACTGGTTTCCCCTTGAAGTCTTCGACATTGACCTTCTTGACGTATGGCTTCAAGAACGGCAGCAAGCCGTGAATCCCCATGGGCACGCTCCCAAGTGTTGTTGCACACGCGAATGTCAATATTGCACACACACCTGCAAAGCATGAAAAGCCTTTGTTGTTGCAATTCTGTTTGCAAGAACCCGTGCCTCTGTCGGCTTTACATCAAACTGGCATGGCAATAGTAAGCCTCTGTAAGAAGAAAGCTGAGCCTTGGCATTATCAACATGCCATCAGTACACAACTTACACAACATCCTCAGATTGGCATTCCCAGGCCTTGGCGCTTCCTTGCGCCTCTTCGCTTCCGTCAACCTATGCTGTCTTCAATTCATCCAAACGGCTGCCGAGGGAAAACACGTCTTTCGAAAACGGCGACGATGGAGTGCGCGCTTCCACCTGTATTTGTGATTAGTGAGTAGTGGCTGACATAGACATCAATTCCATACCTGCCAGTTCTCGGCTGGCTCCATGCAAACACAGATGTGCAGTGAAGCAAAACAAACATGCGACAAGTTGTTTCGCATCACACCATGGGCTTTGGGATGTTGATATTGGCCGCTCCACACGACCCTGCAACATCCTGCGAATGTCTTACAATGCCCTGTCGGTGCCCCAACTGTAGCCTTGCTGGCACTGTTGATATTTCTGCACCGGTGCGGACCTGCGGTAACAGATACTACTGGCTGGTCTGAGGATCCTCTGGCAAACTCAAGAGCTGCGCAACAGCCGGGAAATCCGCGGGTTGGAAACGGGCTGGGGATTTAACCACTTTCCATCAAAGACTCTCGGGCCATCGTAAGCCGTTCCCCACTGGAAACAACATTACAAAACGACCCGAAATCTTGCTGCTGAAGTTTTTTGAACGAAGCCTGGAAAGAACGACCTTGTGATTCTCGGCTTGGGTGGTTGCTGGAGCCAGGCACCAAACGTGGCGCATGAAATCGGACTGCGCTTTATACGCATGCTACATGTGGCCATGCTGCATGCGGCCATCGAGCTCATTCAGCATGAAAGTTGCGACGAGGATGTGAGCCAAACGAACATATCCAACACGAAAAGATCCGATGGTCTTGACAGCCAAAAACTGGAAATCCAAGATACAATCTATTTATCTACGATGTTCTAAGATTATCTCTTCCCATCGTTGACGCTGTGATGCATCTGGCATTTCCCCTGCTTCATGAAGCTTGCAGACTGCAGTTCCAAAGAAATCTTCAGCTTGGTAGTCCCAAAAACTCGGGAATTGCGTTCGAACTCAGACTATCGGATCTCATGAAATCTGAACCTTTCGAATTTTGTTGGCAGCAGCTGCAACCCGTCTGGAGAAAGACATGCATCCAAAACATGTGAAACGGCCATGCAAAACATCGACCTTGTCGGCACGAACCACGCACAAAAAAGGAGCCATCGGCTACACGGCTACACGTACATCCCACACGCAACAGCTTCAACCGATGTGGTTTGCCTGGAAGACAAAAATTCTTAATAAAAGTTAAGCAAGCGTCCTGGATTGGACATGCAAGAGCGTCGGCCAGTGTCAGACTGCCGAAAGCAAGTTGCGCAGGCGTAGACAGGTTGGAACAGCGGGCTGCAATTTATCGCTAAAAGCATCACCTGGCAATGTGATCTACATCTCGCCTGTCCATACATGCGAGCTTGAACGCTGGCGTCCGTGCAGTCACCGCTGCAAGCAGAGTGATCTGCTTGACGTTGCTCGCCGACCAAATGTAGATGTGCAAAGCAACTTGCTCGTATTTATCCAACAAACCAGCAGCAACGACAACAACAGTCAAAAAGGCTGTGCAGATTGTGACATGTCACATGATTTCGAAAATGTAACATAAAATCTATTCATGCAAAGATGGAACCTTCGTAGAAGCTTTAAGACATCTTGAACATCGCTTTGAAAGCAAGACACTTGCAAAGGAGAATCTTTTGGGCAACGGAGCATGTCTGTTGCTTTCACTTTGGGGGCAAGGGCAAGGGTCTTGGACGGAGACAAGGCTTCCAGAATCACGTCTCTGGGCGCTCTCCACACAAGATGCTGCCACAAAGCAAAGCTGGACCTGTGAAGAACATGCAGTTTTTGCACTGCACCACGCAAAAAAATGCCACATTTCGCTGTCCCAGTACAGGCACACAACCCACCGATCCAGCCAATGAGCAGCAACTCCCTCTTATTTTCGGCTTGGATGAGTGCTGGGAGGGCCTCCAGAGTACAGCCTTAGCATGGATCTGAACTCTAACCGATAAGAGATGCTCTTACACTCAACACGGCATGAAAGCTAACTGTGCACCCAAACTCCAGACCCAGTTTCGAGTATCAAGAACACAGTTCAGAAGCTTTTGAACTAGGTTGCCAACTGTACCCACACAAGATTACAAGAGCAAGAAAGGACATTCTTAGAACATGAGAATGAGAATTTTCTGGGCTCCACTGCAAACTCTTAGCTCCAGCTTCTCCAGCGAGACATTCAGCCACGCTGCAGCCAGCAAAACTCAAGTTTCCCTTGTGTGACTGTGTGACTGGGTACACTCTCGTTCAGTGGAAGCTGTCGTTTTTGCAAAGATCGACCGATTTGCAATGCGCTGTTTTTGAACATGGTTCCTTTTTGCATCGAATTTCACTTTGTAATTTCTGAATTTTGGAAATGGTCAGACAGCCGTTCCAGAGCGTGCCAGCCCTTGCCAACACTCCACTGTTGGTAAAAAGAAGCCTTTCTGGCGTGGAGCAATGAAGCGAAGCCTTTCTCCTCTCCACCCTAGAAGGCTTCGAAGCCTCCTTCGCTGAAGAGTCCTCAGATGCAGCCCTCCTATCTCAACTTCGATCTTGCCAAATGGCCTGGCAGAAAGACGGTCAGAGAGCTCTTCAAGCAGCTCGAGTTTTTTCAAAGACGCACTCAGTCCAAGATGAGCACTTGCACACCGTTGCGAAAGCTTCCGGGCTGACGAAAGGCAAACATGTCCTGCCCTCCAAACCAGCTTTAGCTGGAAAAGTCAGAAATGCATAAGCCCCATGCGGGGCGCCACAGTGTTGAAGAGTTCGTCCAACAACACGTCGGAAACTCGCGAAAAACCATTTCTGGGTTTCTCCAACTCATGCTCGTAGTGGTCCCCTGTCCACACCTGAACACGAATTCTTAGAAATCTGCGCAGCTTGTGCTCAACACAGAGCATACCCCGCAGGGGCGGGTTGGGGGTTGGGGTTGAACCCAGGTTGTAACCCCAGGGGCCGGGTCCAAGGGGGG